GATGTGTGGAAAGGGGAACACTCATCCACTGCTGGTAGGGCTGCAAACTTGTTCAACCCCTATGGAAAGTAGTGCGGAGGACTCTTAAAAAAACTACAAATGAACCTTCAATTTGACCCAGTTATACCACTCCTTGGCATATACCCAAAGAATAGGATGAGTCCTATTGCAAAGACACTGTATATCCATGTTTGTTGCTGCTCTTTTCACGATAGCTAAGAGATGGAAGCACAATTAAGTGTCCCTCAATTGATGAGTGGATAATGAAAATGTGGTTCCTTTATACGATGAAATCACGAGATTTGCAGGTAAATGGATGGAACTAGAAACTGTTATACTACGTGAAGTACCACAGACTCAGAAAAAAAAAAAAAATCGACATATATTCTTCCCCATATGTGGATCCTAGAACCAAATCCTGATAAGTGAGTATGTATCCAGACATAACTAGAGGAACCAGGATAATGGAAAGAAAATAGGGAGGTTTAGGAAAAGAAACAACCTGAAAGAGAAGAACAGTAGAAAACAGGCGTTAATAAGGGAGATATGGATAAAAATTGGGTTTAAGGGAGGCGGGGGGGGAAGGAAGGGTATACAAGGAACCCAGGGAATAAAGGGAAAGAAGGAGCTCCAGAGAGGTAGGACCATAGGGAGAAGGGTATTAAGGGAGAAAGGAGAAAAACGGGGGCACCTTAATTGGGGAAAACATGATGGAGGGGTTAGACAATGTGAGAAATAAATAATGCCTAGCTGGTTTTAAAAACCAGAGGGAACCGTATTAGTCCAACAACCTACTGACAAATTATACATACCAGATCAAGAGATATATGTCTAGGCAAAGTTTATCTGAGAACAATTGGTTTTTGCCCAAGATTTATCTACATGGCACACAGTAATTAAAAGTGCCAGACTGGTGGAACTAACCTTCTTGGATGTTTAACAGCCATACTTTGAGGCCTATACTAATCTGGTCAGAGGGACATAAAGGACAGTTTTTGTTCCTTGCCCTCCTAGGTTGACTAAGTTCCAGGGGACTATGAGCATCTCTCAAAATGTCAGGTAACTGTGGTGAGTCACCTGTCCTCTTGAACAAGGAGGCCATGAAGACCCCACCAGATGGACCTGAACCAGTGTCCGGTCTACAAAGAGGAGAGTCAATACAGAGGAAACATTTCCTCCATGCTTCCAAGTGAAGCCAGCCATGGTCAAGTAGGACCTTTGACTTATCTTCACATAGATGGAAATGGTAAAAGAAAGGAGCCAGGGGCTCCTCCCAAGCCCATGTGACCCCTGAGGAACAGATCCTCGAATGACCTTAAAAGTAAAAATAAATTTATTTATCTCGGCCAATTGTAGGATCTTAAACACCCAAAAGGAAAGTATAACCAAAGATTAATGGGGTCAATATAATTTTTAAGAGTCCATATGTATAGCTAAGGCTACATAACAAGAAACAACACCAGACAGGTGATACCTTCCTTTGAGTTACTGGCCAAGGTGGCACAAGCGACATCCCAGACCATAACCCAGCATAGAACTGGGAAAATGAACATCAGACCCCAATCTTATCTAAAGGAATATTGACAACTGATTTCTGCTAGATGAGAAACAGCTGATCTTCCTAAAACAAGGATCTCTAGATAGGTTGACTAGATTCAGCAGACGGACAAGTACTAGCGAATGGCTGGGGGTGTTGACAACAGAAGAGGACAGTAACAGGGATGACAAGAGTATATGGGCTCCAGTGAGTGGGAGGGGGGAGGCTATGGGAGGGGCCATTTGGGAAGTGGGTATATAGATGAATAAGATTGTGTGGGATGTTCTATATGACATACACACAGAAAAATCAACAAATGAAAAAAAAAAAAGACATGTTTGAGGAGGAAGCATAAAAATTTACTTCATGTTAAATAGTAGAGGTGATAAACATTACCAGTGAAATCTACCTGATGACTTTATATCCATACTCAGGTACCAAGGACCCTAGTGTAACCAACTGTGATAACTGTGATTAGTAATCATCAGACACACAGATATTAAAGATACATGTGCAAACATCTAAGTGTTCATGGCATTAAAAATGTAGGAAAAAGTATATTTTAAAATGAAATGGAGATCTTTAAAGGATTAAAACTCATTCAATTTTATATCTTACAAGGTTTATACTGTGTTCAATATTGTATAACAGTATTGATTCAACTGTGAACCTAAAAATTTTCAGCCAGTATTGAAAGAGATGCATCTTTGCTGTGGAAATTTTTATTGAATCTGTTAATGCTG